GGCCGTGGGTAGATGCAAGAGTTCAGAAATGTGCTTCTCACCAACTGTTTTCACTTCCAATTTGTCTCCATGATTCTAGGGACCCCACTAGCTGGGGCCCTTTGCATCCTTCAGCACCACGCCCAGGTAGTTCCTCCAGAGGAAAATCATACTTGTGGCCTGGGCAGGGTCAACTGCTCCGTATGTATTTTGCTCATGTTTTCTTTTTCAAACCCTCTTGTGTTTTTAAAATGCTGTTCTGTGAACTGGTGCTGAGCTGTGGTGAAATTTCGCTATTCTTTACAAAAAGTAGAGAAACAAAGAAATGTAAATTATGTACGTGTGTGTATTGTGGGTACACACAGGGTGTGAAGTTCCAACTCTTCTTTCTTGGTAAGGTATGTTCTCTATTCTGAGGCTGGCCTCGATATTATTCTTAACTAATGTTGAAATGTCTTTTCTTTTATGAAAGGATCATAATAGTAGATTGTAGTCAAACATATGTTTACTCATAAAATAACAGGTTGGAAACACCAAAAATTGAGCTCTGAATTAGGGGCCTGATATAGGAGCAGTCACCCCAATAAACCATCAGTGGTCTTAACTAAATCCTCTCCCCTTAGCTTTTGCCTTTCTTCTAGAAGATATCTCTGTCATGAACTTACATTCCTGGACTGTGTATGTAGGGTACCTAGAAGATAGTCGACATGTCCCTGGTAATTAATGGATGAGGTGGTCACATCCTCTGGCCTCTGAGCTTGCCTTCAAGGAGTCGGCATTTCTAGAGTGGGCCTCAGGTCTTGATAATGATACCATTGGTGCATGTCTGTGCTGAGGCATTTCCCTGTCCTCTCACTTCATCTGCAGCTGTCATAGGGTGGCAAGGCCAAGCTTGGCAGCATCACAGGGGCCAAAATTGTTCCAGTGCTTCCTCCTCCTCCTTCCTCAGTATAACACTCACCCCCACTTTGCCTCTCCCCCTGAGCTCTGAGTTCCTTAAGGGACCCTATTTGCTCCATCACCATATCCTTGCTTTCTTCTGGCAACTAGCCCAGTGCCTGGAACATGGTAGGCACTCAGTCAGTGTTTACAGAATGCATTATGAGTAATCATGCCTAAAAATTGAATAGTGCATATAATTTGCAAGTGCCTTCATGCTTTATTCATTTACTAGAAATAAACAAATGGACAAGGGGATCTTGCAAGTCTTTATCTTAAGGAATTCATGAATGGCCTATTGAATTTGTAAACCTCTTTACATTGTATGTAAAATCTTGTGTGTGTTTGCTGTGTATGTATTTATTTGGGGAAGAGTTTTCATAGCTATGCCTTTAAAATGTTAAAGGACCATGAAAGAAAATGAGGCTTGGAGCTATGCACAGATACTTTTGAATGCACATTCTCAGATGGGAGGTGCTATATCAATGCAAGGAGTTATTGTCTGCAGGAGTCTTCTGCTTTGGAATGCCTATCCTTTTGGCCTTTTTATTGCTATCTTTTCCTGGAAACTCCATAGCTTTTGGACCTATGGACCCTATAAAATAACTTTGGGTCTGTATTTACTGGAAACTAATCCTGGAACCTTAGATTCAGGGTCACTGACTTGGTGCATGAACCTGAAGCACAAGGCGACTCAAAGAGATTTTAGGTTAATAACTAACTGGATTGGAAAGAGTGTTTTGTTTTACAAACATGATCATAATTTGTTCGTGTTTACATTTAAATTATAAATGATTATTCAGTAGTTTTTTGACTTGTTTTTAAATAGGCTCTTGAAAACATTGCTTTAATGAAAAATAAAACTTAAAAGCAGCTGTGGTGGTGATATGTAATGACTGAAGTATAATTAAGAGTTGTAATTATTCCCAGATTGGCATTTGGAATGCCAAAGTAGGGACCCCAATCAACTCAACCCAGACAAGGGAGCATCAGGCCCGAGACAGGTGCAGGACACGGGGTGGTAGGAAGGTGTTTACTTGGGGACCCTTGAGCATGCAGGTTTGGTCATAGGACGCAACAACTAGGGACAGAGTCCTTATCTGTGGTGAGATAATAGAAGGAAGGTCCCAACCTTCTAGGCTCTGGGAGGAAATAAAGTTCTGCTCAGGGAAAGACGTTTCTGAATAATACCGGGGGTGCCAAGAAAATGTATACAAGCGGACACTTTGGTCAGCGTTGCTTAAGCAGTAGTTCGCTGTAATCAGAAGTGTCTGGACGCTGATGGTAACCACTTTGAGCACCTCTTGTAATTGCAGAAGTCAAACATGACTTGTATTCATCTTGTTATTGGTATATATTGAGTATTACAATTTTAATACAGCTTTCCTTTCTTAAAATGTGTAGACATTTTTTTTAGCACCCTCTGTATGTCCCTGAAGACTTCTGAGTCTTATCTGCTTGAAAGCAGACAGACAGCCTGGAAATAACTCCCTCCCCTTATGAAAATGTAACTCACTTGAGGACATATCAGGGGCCAGTCTCCCCTTCTCTGATAACCTACAGAGGACCCATGACCTGGCATAATTTCCAGGCTGCTAGCCCTCCTCAATCCCATAATTTCATGCTACCTCACTCATACCCGCCTTCCCCATGGCCCCTCTAGAAACCTTTACAAGCTCCACCTTCTTTTTTCATCGTTAACATGACTAAGATTCCATGATCCCCTGGCCTTGCTATTAGCTCATAGATGAACCCAAGCTATGACTTGATGCCATGTTCCTAACACGGAGAGCAGTGGGAAATTTCTGAATCACCTGGCTTATTGGGCTGGTCCTCCTGATCGTGGTATTTCCTCTTGACCCCTCCTCCTGCAATTGGGTGATAATGATGCCTGGACCAGGGTGGGCATAGGAGGCATACCTGAGAAATGGCATGCTTGGAAGACCTATTCGTGGAGGGTACAGGCATATGTGGCCAAGCCAAGGTGAGATGTGGCTGGGCAAGTTCCTTACTACCAGCTCACAGCAGTGGACTTGGACGCTTGGGTTTTATCTACCAGTGTATGGGCTAGCGTGGGCTCACTGGAGCATTTCGAGTGAAGGAGAGACCTGGCCAGAGCTGGGCTTTGGAAGATTTGTCAGGCATCCTGTTTGTGGGAGTTGATAGGTGGGGAGAGCCTGGAAGCAGAGAGATGTATGGAGACCGCTCTTGCAGTCCAGGGGGAAATAGTGATGAACTGGGAGCAGGCTGGCCATGGGCCAATGGAATGGTGGGGTTGAGGGGTGGGGCGTGGGGAGCAGCAATAGAGGAGACCAGGTGTAGCAGGAATGGGGGAGTGGGGAGGAGGGGCCGGTCAGTGATGTTAAGGTTGGGATATTTTGAACTTAGCTAATTAGAAGGATTAAGAAAGAGGGGGAGATAAGACGGGGAGAGAATGAGTTTGGGATGAGTCATATTTGAAAATGTCTATTTGAAAGCGTCAATCTACATTAGGCATATGGGAACTGGGTTGGGGCATCCTTGGTGAGAACAGAGTAGAGATAAGGATAAGAGAACTTGGGACCAAGTTCCTGGGAGATGCCTGGGGAGATGGTCCTGCTATACAACCTGATGGCTGTCTTTGGACCTTCAACCTTAATGACTGGCCACAGCAGTGAGTTGGGTCTGTAGACTCAAGTGACTGTTGTCTGTCAGGCTATGACAGGAAGCTGCTATGCTGGTTAGAGGCTCCGACCCTGGAGCTGGGCCGATCTGAGTCCTAATCCCACGTCTACCACTTCTAGCTGTACAACACTGTCTAATTCATTTAACCTTCTGGACATCATTCTCCTCACCTGTAAATGAAATAATAATAGGACCTTTCTCATAGGTTCATGCCGCAAATATTTCCTGAGCACCTTTTCTGTGCTAAGCACCATGGGTTTACAGAGGTAAGATGTGAGACAGCCCCTGCCCTCAAGCCACTCAGCAGCTATAGGGGAGACAGGACGCCAACGCAGTAATGTGCAGCTAGTGCTACAGAAACTGGACCAGGGAGCTTTAGAGCTCATGAGAGGGTCACCTAGACTCTGTGTGTGTGATGGTGTGTGTGTGTGTGTGTGTGTGTGTGTGTGTGTGTGTGTGAGATGGTGTGTGTGTGTGTGTGTGATGGTGTGTGTGTGTGTGTGTGATGGTGTGTATGTGATGGTGTGTGTGTGTGAGATGGTGTGTGTGTGTNGTGTGTGTGTGTGAGATGGTGTGTGTGTGTGTGTGTGATGGTGTGTATGTGATGGTGTGTGTGTGTGAGATGGTGTGTGTGTGTATTGGGGGTGGGAGGGTGAGAGGAAGTTTCCTGTTTCTTGGAGAGGGTGTTTCAGATGAACTTGAAGACTGGGTTGGGGTGAGTCCAGTGCCTCTCAACTCTGGTTGCACAGGAGAATCACCTGGGAGCCAGAGCTCCACCAGAACAAATTAAATAAAAATCTGGGAGAGAAGGAGTGGGGACAAGGGTCCAGGCATTGATATATTTTTAAGGCAGCCTGTGTGTCTCTAATGTGGAACCAAGGTTGAAAACAACTGAATTAGCAAAAGAAAAGAAAAGAAAAAGAAAAAAGATTCCATGTAGGCAGCCCTCCAGAAAGGGCTGCCTACATGAAATCTTAGGACAAGAGGGAAAAATGATTCGAATGGACTGCCGAAATCAGTATAGTATATTGTTTTACAAACCGTGGTTCGTGATTTGTTAGTGGGTCATGAAACCAATTTAGTGTGTCATGACCAGCTTTAAAAGCAAATAGAATGAGATGGAATTGGAAACATCGGGGCTCATGGTATATAGTAAGGATCACTGTTTCTTGAAAAGTGTTTCACAAGCCTATGTGGGTGTGTGAGCTGGGTCTCCTGCAAATGTCCTTTTTGCCATGAGCACAGTCACACGTTTCTGAGAAGTGCTGGTTCGGGGGAATGACTGTAGGGAGTAGGTAGTGAGTGGGAGGCTGGATGGGGCTGTGAAAGCTGCTTGAGCTCAGTCCCTGGGGCAGAGGGGGACGGAGGGTTTTCAGCAGAGAGCAGCAAGGTCACGGCTGCACTTCAGAGTGATCCCTTCAGCCGCAGTACGGGCTGTAGGAGGTGAGGCTGCTGCTGTGCCGATGGGCCACATGGGAGGTGATCAGCAGCCTAGGGAAGAAGTAGAGGGGTGGAGATTTAAGGACTCTAGGGCCGTACTCCTTCTGGGGGCAGGTCCCTGGGATGCTAGCCAAGGCTCAGAATGTCCCCTCAGGCCTAGTCCCAAGGGCCCTATTCAGGCCTCAGTACTGTTTTCCTCTCATTTCTCCACCCCCTTGATGTTTCTGTCTGAAGAGCTCAGCATCACTTTAATGATTCAAGCAGGGGAGAGAGAAGCCTCCGGAAACTGCTTTAAACTGAGGCACTGGAGCTTCCTGCTCCCCTAGATGCAAAAATAGCAGAACAGATGTAACCGATGCTTTGAGAGAACATTTCTTTTGAGCTAGTATCAGACATAAATGTTAGTTCCAAAGGGGATGTTCAGAAGTGCTGGGTTGGAAAACACTCCATTTTATCTCCTAGAAGGGTGGGTGCTCTGTGGGCTTCTTCTGTTGGGTAGGGTCTGTGGGGTCTTAGTGGTGCGCGGTAGGGGTGCGAGCAGCCAGAGTGAGCCTCCCCCTTCCGTTTCCTCTGATACTAGGGCAGGGGAGGAGGAGGGAGCGTAGAAAGGGGTGGTTCTGCTCCTGAATGTACAAGTGGGTGATGATTGGCCAGGCTGTGTAGCCCCGCCCCAGGCGCACCCCACCCCCTTCAGCCGCATTGGTCCTCCTGCTCTTCAGGTCAAACTGACCAGTAGGCCTTTTGTGCCTGCTGTTCCCTCCGCTTGGACCATTCTCCTCCAGACCGTCACAAACATCTCTGCTCAAATGGCACCTGTCCTGCATCTAGTTTTTTCTTCCAACATTTTTAAATTTTCCCCTCTTGATTTACTTCTCTCTAATTGCACACTCCCTACCGGACATGATTCGTTAGTCAGTGTTTGGTGGTCTAATCACTAGAGGGCAAGCTTCCTGAATGCAAGGGTGGTGTCTGTCTGTGTCTCCCTGGTCCCTGCCGCATTTCTCGGGCTAGCGCAGCGATGGGCCTGTGGCATGTGGCAGCTGAGCGAACGTGTACTGGTGGGCCTCATGGATGGATTCACTCGCCCGTTCATTCTTCTTTCAGCCACGTGCCAGGCACGTTTCTTGCTGGTAAAGGGGGTTTGGGAACCTTGGTTCATGTCCTGGAGCTCTTGAGGGGACAGCCACTTTAAGTGTGACATGGCATGGTTTGCACCCCAGTGTGTTCCCCTGGGGCTAGAACTCTCTGCTCAGAGCTGCCCTGCTTCCTTGGGGATTTCCGGGTGGCCTTTAGGGCTTTGTCCTAGGGGTCTTGTCAGTCCCCTAGGGGTACTAGGGGTCCTGGTACCTACTGAGACCAACAGGGAAATTATATCCAAATAGCCCCTGAGTTTCCCTGAGCGAACCTATCCCACCAGCCCCAGACCTGGGACACGCTCACAGACTCTGCTCCTAGAGATCTTTCGCGGCCTTTTCCCACATGTCCTCAGTGCCTCCCTTCTCTGTGTGGAGGCCGAGAGCCTATAGTTCATTTCTCATTCCCTCTACCACTCATTCAGCTAGATTTGAGGCCAATGGGAATTCCTGGTCACAAACTTGGATGTGTAACATGTCTCAATTTCTGGAAATCTTGAGTCCCCATCCTACCCGGCTGGTAGAAACTCTGTGTCAGTCATTCCTGGGCACTTCCTCTCCTCTGGGGAGTGCCAGGGTGCCAGGTCTTAGGAGGTGCCTAGTGGTTGGGGAGGCGCTGGCCACTGGCCACTGAGATGCCCATCCCCCCAGAAACATGGTCCCCAGGTCCATGTTCCTGTGGTTTCTTTGCTGCCCTTGGAGCACCTGAGTCTCTTGTCCCCAGTGCCTGCTGCACCCCCTGAGCACCAGCCACATGTGTATTTATTTATAAAGAGAAACCGGACACCCTGTCCCACCTTGAGGGCCCAGCCTGTTTAGCTGCTAGTCACAAGGATCCATGTAAAAAGGATAAGTAACAATTCAAGGCAGCAGGTCAAATGGTACAAAGATCAAGGACTCCAGCAGTTGGGAGGAAAGTGAGAGTGGGGAGGGTTAGAGAGGTGGCAGAGGGCTCCCTGGAGGAGACAATGGGGAGTGTGCATTTGGCAGGTGGGCTGATTTGAGAGTTCTCTGGGGAGAGACAACCCCCAGACCAGTGCAATGCCTAACTGGCCAACTCCACAGCCACTGTGAGGTGAATTTGCTGGAAGAAAGAGCCAACTTGAACTGCTGAACTCTGGAGGACTTGAAAAAGCACGCTTGGCTATTTCTGCCTCGGAGCTGTCCCCCTGCTGCCAGCCAGGCCTGACGAAGTTGGGTTTGGGATGTTGCAGGCTCTGGATGGAATGGCCTCTTTTTGAACAATGTGTAGCTTTGAAATGTAATATAACAGGTTCACCTGTCACAGGCTTGAGCAGTTCCTCAGCTGTCGCCACCAGCTTTGGTCCTGCTGCAAAGGGGCCACGTTAGAATCCAGCCCTGGAGCAAATGAATCTGCAGTTCACCGAGGCAGCAGGTGCTTTTCATAGCTTTCAGTGGGCTTGGAGTGGTGCACGGAACTGACAAAGCACCTCTCTAGGCAACGGCATTGCTGGACACAATGTTTTGAAAGGGATTCAATTCCATTTAAATGATGGCATTCTGAGTATTTTTCATACTCCGTACCCCCCGTCTTCCTCTTTATTTTCTGTAGGAAAAGTGCAAATGTGAATGAAAATTGCCTGGGAAAGTCTAGGCATAAAGATTAAAGTGTTTGGCTGCTGGTTAAAGGAAATTTATGCCTGCATTTCTCTTTGTTGCAGAAACTTGCTTTTATTTTTGGTGGAGGTTGTCATTCCCGACTTCAGAAGATGTCCTTCTTGGCGCTGTTTCCCTCTTTAGATGTCTCTCTGTCCCTCCACTCTGCTCTCGCCTTCATGTCTGGTGGTCTTAGAAAGACGTGCCCGCCATCTACAAAGGAGAGGCAGTGCCTGCAGGGCCCGGCAGGTAAATCAATGAGTGACATAGATGGGGGTGGGGGGCAGGGGCTGGGGCGAGGTGGAGGGGAGGGGCCTGTCCAGGACAGTGCCGGCTGTGCCAGCCAATGGTGGCCACAGGAATGCACAACCAGGGTGGCCAGCTATTCTGCGTGTTCAAGAGAAGCTGGAATCTAGATTTTAAGGCACCATTTCTTGATTTTAAAGTGTAGGCAGCTAAAAAAACAACCCCACTGCGTGGATGGAATGAAACCCACATACCAGATTCAGCACATAGGCCACCAGCTTGCAGTCTGTGCCATGGATGTGTCAGGTTCTCCTGGCCCAGGACAAGCCGGTGTTACCCGCCCTGTGTAAGGCAGGTCTCCTCTGTGCTCCTGGCCTGCTGGGGGCAGCAGCTGTCTCTTCTGGGGGTAGTTTTAGTTTGCAAGAGTGACCTTATCATGTGAAGGGAAGAGCCTCAGCCAGAGAGGCATAGGGGCTGGACTTTGCTCACACTTTGCACCTTTGGGGCTGGTGACCTTGAGCAAGTCAGGTGAGCCCCATGGGTCTCGGTTCCTCTGTTCTCTTAAGTCAGGACAATTATATCTGAATTACCTACTTGGTTTTTTGCGAGACAAAAAGGATGGCCTCAGTAACTATGATTTGAAACGTGTCAATGCCAGTTGCTCTTCTTATTTTTGTGGCAGCATTTGGTGTAAAGGAATCGTGAACTTGAAAAGGACAGTCTGCTTCCTGCATGTCCAGGTTCCAGCTTGGTTCTTAGTTCTGGCTTAAATCCAAGAGGAGTGAGCCCTGGGGCTTTCTGTCCGTATCTGTCAGCATGGTTTCCCAAAGCCGTCAAGCAGGGCGCAGACCACGGAGGGAAGGGCAGAACGGGGCAGGCAGGAAGCAGAGCCTGGGGCAGCACGTCCCTCACACCCCACTGGGCTGGCACCGCTCGGCAGCCTTGAAAAATTGTGTGTTCACCAGTTTGTTTAAACAGAATATTTAAGAACAGAAGCATTACCCAGGATAGCGTTTCCCAGACTGGTGCTCATAGGCACTCGACTCTCGCTGGCAGTGCTGAAAGGAATGAGAAAAGGAGTTCATGCTCAGGTACACTGGGAAACGTGGGATTCAAGTTCAAGGAGTTTCCTTCTCACAGGACTCCTCTGGCTTTAAAAATAACACGCTAATTAATGTGTATTGTAAGGCGAGAGTCAGCATTGTTTCTCCAGCCCTCATTTACTGAGCCTGTGGTAACATTTCCTTAGGACACAGTGTGGGCGATGCTATTCTAGGCCCGAGGACCATTTCTTCACTCCATGGGCTTCTGTTGTGTGCCATGTGAATACTAGGCACAGGGGATAATGTGGGGAGCAAACGCAGGCCTGGCCTCGGCCCTCCCCTCGTGATGTTGACAGTCTGGTGGGGGAAACTGCCATCAGTCAAGGAAGCACACACTTGGAGTGAAATTACAGCAGGAGACAGTGTGGACCCGGGACGAGTGTGGTGCTATGGGGGGATTTGCCCCTCTGTGTGGGTGACTCAGTTGGTGGGGGAGAGGGTTGAGTGAGCTGTGAAGGATGCAGAGGCATTAACCAGCGCAAGAGGCCCGGAGTCCACGGTGTGGGGGCTTCCTATTGGGTTGTCGGAAAAGTCATGATATATTTTGTCTGCGTTTTTCAAAGGTCATTTATTTATATAAAGGACAAAGAGCAATCAATGATATATTGTCCGTTTTGTTCGATAACCTTTTGCCATCTTTCAGTGAGCTTCATAATTCCTCGTTCTTAGAAGGACCTGTCTTTATTTGCGAAAAACTGAACAAGGTGCTGATTTACAGCCTCATCTGAATTGAACGTTATACCACGCAAAGAGTTTTGAAGAGAGTGAAACAAGTGGAGTCTGACTGCACAAGGTCAGGTGAGTATGGTGGGTGTGGCAACACATCCCATCCAAGCTCCAATAATTTTTGACGGGTGATCAAACTTGTGTGTGGTTTCGCGTTGTCACGATGGAACACAACTCCTTTACAGTTAGCAAGCTCTGGACATTTCTGGGTGATGGACTCATTCAAACTGTCCAATTGCTGACAGTACACATTCAGATTGGTTGTTTGGTTCCTTGGTAGGAGCTCAAAAAACACGATACCTTTAAAATCCCACCACACTGAGAGCATAACCTTCCTCTGATGAATGTCTGCTTTTGATGTCGTTTGAGGCGAATCATCACGATGGGACCAAGACCATTTGCACACCACATTGTTGTAAACAATCCACTTCTCATCACCAGTTATCAGTTGCTTCAAAAAAGGGTCGTTTTCCTCACATTTATTGAGCATATTGAAGAAGTTTATACGCTCTGTCAAATGAACTTCTTTGAGTTCATGCGGAACCCAAATATCGAGCTTGCTTACGTATCCCAGCTTCTTCAGGTGGTCATGAATGCTTGAATGATGGATGTTCAATGTTTCTGCAATCTCTCATGTCATGTAACATGGGTTTGACTTGATCAATGCCTTTATTTTGTCGTCATCAACCTCGGTGGGCCTCCCTGACCAAGGAGCGTCATCGAGATCAAAATCACCAGCACAGAATTTCGTGAACCATCGTTGGGACTGACGTTCTGGTAGAGCATTGTCACTGTAAACTTTATGCAACTTTTCACAAGCTTGATGTGTGTTCTTCCCTTTATGGAAGCAAAACAGTAAAATATGGCAAAAATGCACAGTTTGGTCTTCCATCTTCAACTTGTTGTAAAATCTCCAAAACTCAACCAAATTGCTTAGTTTTTTTTAGAATGAAGCTAGAACTGTCAGCTGTCAAATGACATAGCAATACCATAGATACAAATGACTCTAGTACTTCCAAACATGAACTAGTGCCATCTGTCGCATACATGCGTCATGACTTCTCCGACAACCCAATAGGAGTGGAGAGAGGCCAGAGTGCCCAGAGCTCTGGGAGAAGGGCTCGAGGGAGCCTGATGGAGATGAGGAGGCGCTAAAGCCTCCCCTCGCTCAGCCTGACGCAGTGCAGCCATTGCCTCATGTGACTGGGAGTACGACCTGGGGCCCATGGGAGTGTCTGCACAGGGGTACCCCCCACGCATTCCTACCCCAGATGCAGGAGGCCTCCTTGGACTGAGCACCCAGATATCCCCCCCCCCCGCCCCATTCCTACCCCAGTTGCAGGAGGCCTCCTTGGACTGAGCACATAGAATGAGAAACACACTCTGGCTGCCTGGGCAGTCCTTGTATTCTTGCTGCTGCGTCTGGTCCTTGACTTGTGGGTACACAGCTTTCCCTGCAGATGTTTCCCTGGAGGGATGCCACTGCCTGCTGGGAAACTCGTGCTGGGGCCACTGATAGGTGACTCAGTTCACAGTAAGGTCCTTCTTGCTCCTGTTTGCTCTGGAATCAAGCATTTGTTGATTGTGTCTCCCTGGGGACAAATGTTATCCTGAGTTTCATGTTCCTCAGAGTGTAAACCTGAGCAGCACCGTGCCAGTGCCCTCCATGCGTTCAGACCTCACTGAGTAAATATTTATTGAGTGTTATGATGCGCATGGGAGGTAGAGGGGTAAACATGACAGTTGGGACTCTGCTCTCACCAGGCTGTCCTTCGGGGGGTACAGGGAGTGGGGACAGGCAGTGGAATACCCCTGAGCAGACTGAGGGCTGTGGGAGCAGCTGCCCTCATTCAGGGGGCTTCAGGGAAGGCTCCTGGGGGGACTGCTGTCTCAGGGGAGACCTGAAGAAGGAGGATGTGCTGGCAGGGTGAGGCCATGGACAGGGAAGAGGAGAGAGGACGCAGTGCTGGAGGGGGCAGACTGGGGCTCAGTCATGTGGCTGGAGTGGGTGCAGGGCTGACGAGGCCACCGTTCCTTGCTCTCCTGGAGAAGTTTCCCCAGAATTTGTGGGGGAGTCCTGAATTGTCTTGGTCACAGTCATCCAGTGCTGTTATACTTTTCTTCTGAGCACACCTGTATTAGGGGATTGTGACACTTGCAATGTCAGAAATTGCAAGAAGCAATTATTGCAGAAGCTTGGAGCACGCTTTCCTCTAAGACGTCTTTGCATGGACACCCTGAGTCCTGCACTGATGAGCTGATATAACTGCAATGACAAGGGACAGCTTTTTTCCTTTAACTAGAGGGATGAGGGTAGTGGGACTCTATTGGCTGCAGTGACCTTTCATGGTAAGTGGAGCTATGCCAGTGTAGAAACAATTATCTCAAGTGCCTGCGGGTACCAGCTTCCTGTTGATAACATGTGGTGCTAATTACCTTGAAGGATTCAGGGCAGATGTTGGTGCCAGGAATTAATTGGCCAGCAGAAGGGCTGACCCGGGCTCCGGACCCTAGTGAAGGTGGGGCAGCTCCACCTTCTCACGTCCCCCTTTCAGGGCTGCAGCCTTGGTCCTGCTCCTGCAGTCGCTGTGCTTTATTGCACTCTCTTAACCTTCTCAGTGAACCTGAGATGGGATTGGCTGCTCAGCCACCCCTGTCTCTGTTTATAGCCTTCTAGACCTGCAGGGGAGGAACAGGGTGGCCAGTTAATCAAAATACTCTGTGGAAAAGGTCAGCCCGCTGGGTCTCCTACTATCTATTTTTGCACAATGGGAGGTATTAACATTCTGCCTCCATGTATTGCCCACGTGAAACCACGTGGTCAGGAAGTTGCATCGATGCTACGGATCCTTGGTGGCCGCAATTTTAATGAAAGAGACTAATGGTGCCAAGTGTGGTCACATTTCTCCTTCTTCCTCCTGGACCACTGTTATCTGGAAAGGTGGGCAGTGACCCTGGGACCCGCTCAGTGCCTTCCCTGCCGCGAGCTCCCAGTCTCTGCTCTCTGCATTCTCTGCCTTTACCACAACTCACTACCAGTGTGAACGCTTATGCCAGCGTTAGTTTACCCTCCTATGGGGCTGCACAGTTCCAGGCCCTGCACCAGGCAGATCACACGTACCATCTCATTTAATCTTCACAATAGCCTGAGAGCCGTATTACACCCCTTTACAGACAGGGACACGGAAGTCCAGAAGGGTAACCAACACACTCAGCTAGCCAGTGGGACACCAGGACTTGAACTCAGGGAGTTTGACTCCGGAGCCACCTTTGTTTTAGCGCCATCCTGAGTCCCATGAGGATGGAGGCATCACCTGTCTGGCTCACCTGTACACCTCAGATCCTAATGGAAGCCAAGCACATGGGGAGGCTCAGTCAGTGTTTGTTAAGTACGTAAATGAACTTAAACCCCGACCCTTGCTTGGGTGTGAGAGCAGGAAAGGCCAGTTCAAGGCAGAGGGCCAGGGCTGAGTGGATTTGCGGTGTGTTTTGTAGACATCGTCTGGAGGGCTGGAGTGGGAGGGGCCAGGCAGAATGGCAGTGGTGGTAGGCGTTGCCACCCTTGTAGAAGTAGAATCAAATGAAAGCTGCTTCATTTAGTCAAGACAAGTTCACTTTTGCAGAATGAAGAAACGCTGCTGTTAAAGGTAGTGAACCCTGTGGACCATTGTATCGTTTCTTATTTTCCAAAATCTTTAGCTTTGAAAACTCCGGTCCATAATAGCTACCTAACCAAAAATAGGAGAAAACTCTAGACACAGCCTTTTACCTTTCAAATAAAGATCCTTAGAGAATCTTGCACTCTGAGTTGGGTGTGTGTGCATCTCCATTACTGAACTTAGCATGTTGAATTTTCTGCAGTGAGTGCCTTTCATTTTTACCTTAGAATGTTGTTCCCTTTTGAAAAAATTAAATTGTATAAACAAAACAGAAAGGCATGGCGGATAATGTAAAAATCACTTTGAAAATATACCACTCAGAGCTAATAGTAGATAATTTGGTGACCATCCTTCCAATGTTTGTGTGTAAAATATAATTTTATAGAGAGGAAAATACTGTGAACACTGTTTTACAATCTGCTTTTCCCTCCATTTAATGTATGGTGGAGATCTTTCCATGTCAGTGAACAGGGTACTGCATCATTCTTTTGAATGGCTATATAGGACTCTATTGTATGGCTGCTTCATGATTAATTTAACCTGCCCCTTAAGATGTACACTTACCCACAT